ATACAAAGCAAACATAATGAGAAGCCCACGAAAAGCAGTACTATTATTACTTGAAAAACCCTACAATGGAATGGAACTCGCTTATTGGGTTATGACATGATAATAATCCTCCCCCTCCCCCTTCTCCACCCACCACCAAAAAAATAAGAAAAAAAAACTGTACATTTGTTGACCCTAGAAACTACAAAGCCTACGTGGCGCGCAGGCCGAGTATTCTATAAGCTAACTACGTCCTTCGGTGAATACGGGGCGTGCCAACTCGTCGGCCGAGCTCGGCCGAGGAGTAAATTTGTTGATGTTGCGTTAGGTCGCGCTACTAACTTCTGCGTCTTGCGATTGCGGCCGAGAAAGGAACACGTCTCGGCCTCTTGGGCTCTCGAACCTGAAGACAAGGTTACTATTCTTACGAAGTTCAATATCAAATTCGGCTTTCAATGTGCCGAATGTAATAACTGTAACACCCCACTTCGCCGAGAAGGCTAATGAGATGACCTCGACCAATAAGGATTCAGAAACCCTTCTCGACCGAGACTTGGATAGGTAATCAATCGTTCTCGCCGTAGTGCTGTTGATGCCAACGGAAGATACTGCGAAACCGACTGACTCTACGGTGACAGAGCTATCTATGCCGACTTAAGATATCACCGGTTGCTTCCACAGTGCTGTTGATGCCAATGGAAGATGTGTCAGCGAAAAAGAAAGAGAAAAATCACAAGTTGTGAGAATTTGCGCAGGGCAATTTTGTGTTGATTTGCAGGGAGCTTTTCCTGGTGCACAGCTTCCCCTATTTATAGCACTGGACCTTAAGTCCGAGTTAGAATCCTATTTGGACTAGGTTTTCCTCTCCGGATCAACGTCACCTCGACCAGTCCTATCTTTACTAGGACTATGAATCTAGTCCTTAACTGAGCCGGATTTGCCTTCTGGATTACTGATCCCATCGAGACTCCTCATTGTGCTAGGACTCGGCTGGCGTTCTGACCTAACCGCCCTAGGCTGGGAAGCCCACTAGCCGATCGGCCTTCCGGGCCGAGAGTGATCCTACCCTCGGCCCAAATTAATATTTTGGGCCCAAACATTGCCCCCTAGCTTCTGAGGTCCTCGGTCTAAATTCTTCGGCCGAGTTTCGGCCTTGAAGAAGCGAATCTATTACTCAGAGCCCTAATGCCCGAGTTCTAAGGCGTATTCATTGAACATAATTGCACGATCTTGATTCTGCTAACCAAACTCGCCACGTGGCGTCCTCTAACACGACCAATCCCAATAATGACGTCCAAAGCGTGCGGCTGCCTGAATCGTCTTGCCATTATGACCACTATCTCAATCCGCGAGCCACTTCCTCAGTCCGTGAGCCCACTTGTCATCGTGCAGGCGTCGAAACGTCTTCCGCCATTAATTTCGCCGTCACACGCAATCGTGCGCCCCCAACATCTGAAACCTTCGGTCTTCTCAACTGCATTTCCAAAATGTTCATCATGATCAACGATTCTTTCGGTCGATTTTGCCCTTTGTTTTGAATTTCAAACGATTACCCTTCCTGCCAAAAGCCTATAAATACTGAAAATCTCTCATTCGCACTTTACGCTCCCAAAACTTTCTAAAAGCTCTTGCCCTTATTCTCCAGCACATCTCTTTTTCCAGGTCTTCGTCTTCAAATCCCCCAACCCAAAAAACCCTTTTACGCCGTGCTTCCTTCTTATAATGGCGTCCTTCATCTCCAAGTAGGGGTGGCCACTTGGAACCGAAAACCGAAATCGAAACACGAATCGAATCAAACCGCACCAAACGGTTTGGTTTTGCGGTTTTGAAACGGTTTCGGTTTCAAAATCGAACCGCGGCACACAAAACGGTTTGGTTTCGGTTTTGGGTTTTCAAAACCACACCGAAACCGAAACCGAAACCGAAACCGCACTTTTTTATTTTTATTTAGTTCATTATTCAACTAGGTTATACAGAAAACTTATACATTTGGTTTTGCGCCGCTAGAACTTCTGGGTTTGCACCGACACCGAGTGGGTTTGCGACTGTCTGCGCCTCCTTGCATCTCCGCCTGCGAGCGACTGCTTCTGCATCTACTTCTGCCTGCCTGCATCTACCTCTGCGAGTCACTGCTTTCATCTCTGCCTTGCCTCCAATCTTGGCGTCGACACACCCAGAGCAGAGGTAAAAATTTCTCATCCTCTGTCTTCAATTTCATATATGTTGTTGTTAGATTAATTCGAATGTTAGGCAGGTTTGGGTTTGTTGTTAGATGAAGTTATGTGGTCACAAGTGACCTAGTACGGTTTTCATTTTTGAAAATCTGTTCTCTCTTTGTCTGGGTGTTGTCTATTAAAATTCCATCTCTTTAATTGTAATCCAATCTATATTGTGACATAATGTTATATATGGTTTCTCATTGCCCTCTATCCAAAAAATTTAAACATCTTTCAGAATGCCAACATTTCATTTGCACCAACTTGTGGCACATGTTAATTGGTTTTGTGTTTGGAAACATAAACATGAGTTAGGAGTTGCTGTGACGAGGGAAAGCGAGTTGCTGAAACTTTGATGTTTGATTATCACAGGCAGCATGGCATAAGTACCCTCACCTCTCTTAATTTTCTTCGTTTGATGCTTTCTTTTTGTTTGATATCTCTGTTGAGACTTGTATTGCTTCAAAATGTTTTTCTTTGCTGTCTTGCTAAATTACGGTCCTTCACAGAGATAAGGATTGCTAGCCTTCAAGTTGTCTCCTCTATCAGAGTTAGTATATGAGCCGTGTCTTGTTGACAGCCTTTGTGGGGTTGGAAATGCTGATAATTTAGTGTTGTCAAAGGGGAAGCAAGCATAAGGGATTTGTTTGGGGCTTAAGTTTGATTACTGCTGCCAACACCAAGAAGAAAATTAATAGAGAATCTTATTATTTCCAACATGGTCACCAATTGGCACTTGACAGCGTCTTAACCAAGATGGTTATTCAGATCCATCTTCTAATCCATTATTGTTAGTTTTTGAACAACTGATTTAGTGGTTGCATTTGACTTGTATTTGGCAGGTTGAGGACTAGATTTTTACTTGGAGCTCCATCAAGTTTTTGCTTGCCTCCTTGTTATTGAATTTCGTTGGCTTCTGATGCTAAGTTGAACTTGATTCATAGATAAAAATCAGTGTGCTAGCTCCCGACATTGGAGTCTCAATGTGATTATTTACTGAGTTACTTGCTGCTCATACACTCCAATACAATTCATTACTTGTTAGATTGTTGGCCTCGTTAAAATAATTCAAATTTAGCACAAACTTGTTCGATTAAGTATTATATGAAGAAAATTTGTGGTCTTGTTCTTTCAAAGATGATTATAAAACAGTACTATATGAATCTTTGCAGAATGAGAAGTTAGTTTTTAATTTGTGTGGGTGTAAGAGCCTCTTTCTCTTGAAGTCAACACACTATGTGGCTGTTTTCTTTTTCTGTGGTTTTATTTGTTGTTTTCAATTTGTTAATCTGTGACTGCGTTGATTCACCGTCTTCACTGCACCATTTGTTGTTTTCAGTTTGTTAATCTATGCATGGACCACTACTGTAACCCGTTCTCAACCGATGAACTTCAAACTATGGTGCGTATCGCGTCATTTTGCCTTCCTCCCTATTTATTCAGCTATTACATATCCAATTGTATTGATTACTGCTACAGTATAATAGAAATGTGAAGTACAAAGTCAATTTAAAAACCTAATATCTATCTATTTTCTTAGTATAAAATCCTAATATCTATCTATGTTCTTCTTTCGTATTTTATTTCAGTCAAGATATGAAGAATCCAGCAAGCATAGTGGGATTGGTTACTCTTCTACGGGGGACTCCCCTGAGAAGCCGGAGGACGAGGCAATAGAAATTGACTCGGAAAATGAAATAGACGTTGAAGGTGACTTTGAATCTGAGGGCGAAGATGAAAAAGTAAGTAACTCTGATTCAAGAAAACGTAGTTGGGTTTGGGATCATTTTACAACATATTATGTGACGAAAAAACAGTCGAAAATCAATGAAAAGGGAGAGAAATATTTGGCCGAAGTAAAACTTAGGAGAGCTAAATGTAATTATTGCCCAAAACAGAGCAGTGTAGGTGATTATGCAGCTGAACCAAGAGTTAATGGCACCACAAGCATGAGACACCACATTGAAAGATATTGTAAATTTTACCAAGGGAATAGAAGTAAAAAGCAAAAAGTTTTGGTTGGGGATAAAAGTAAAGGTAACAATCTGGTAGCTGTTGGATTTTCACAAGAGAGTGTGTTAGAAGCATGTGTCAAGATGGTAGTCATAGATGAGATGCCATTTAGTACAGTTGATAAGATGGGGTTTCGGCTTTTTTGTGCTGTTGGTATTCCATTGTTTAAAGTGCCTTCTAGAAGAACTCTTGTGAGAACTTTCTCAACATGTCTCATGAATCAAAAGCTTATTTGAAGAAAAAACCTTAAGTGCCCATAGAATTTGTCTCACTACCGACACTTGGACAAGCACACAAAACCCCAATTATATGGTTCTTACTTCACATTTTATTGATCATGAATGGAATATGCATAAGAGGATCATAAACTTTTGTGTTATTCCTAACCACTATGGAACCACAATTGCAAAGTTAATTGAAAGTTGCTTGTTGGAATGGGGGATATACAAAGTTATGACAATCACAGTGGACAATGCTTCCGCCAATAAAGTTTCTTTGGATCAACTTATGACGAAAATGAATAGGTGGGAAAATTCACAAGCTATTCTAGGTGGCAAGTATTTACATGTGAGATGCATCGCTCACAAAACCAACATAATTGTGAGTCATGGGATGAAGAGGCTAAATAATGGTCTATTAGCTATATGAAATTGTGTGAGGTTCGTGAGGAGCTCTCCACAAAGATTGGAGCTTTTTAGGCAAGCCGTGAATAGGGTGAAATTGACATGCAAAGCAACGGTTTGCCTTGATTGCCCTACTCGGTGGAATTCTACATTTGTTATGTTGGATGTAGCCTTGAAATTTAAGAAGGCCTTTGCTACAATGGCGGAGGATGAAGCAAGTCCTTTTTTGGCTTACTTTAAGGAAGTTGAAGATGAAAAAGATGAAGATGGTGTAATTATTGTTTGCCAAACCAAGGGGAGGAAAAGGGTTGGACCACCAACGGAAGAAGATTGGTCCAAGGCGGAGGTTTTTGTCAAGTTTTTACGGGTGTTTTATGATGTGACTTTGAGGGTGAGTGCTTCTACACATCCCACGGTTCATACCGGCCTCCATGATGTCATAAAAGTGGAGACCGCCATCAATAACTTGGAATCCCGAGCCAACATGCAAGTGGGTTTACTGTCGGAGCAATTATTGAAGGCAATGGCATCCGATATGAGATCAAAATATGAAAAATATTTTGACTCATACCATGAATTGAACCCTCTTATTGTGATTGGACTTGTTTTAGATCCGAGGTTCAAGTTGAGGCATGTCACACAACTCTTTAGAAAGAAACTTTCCGACATTGAGGCACAATTGAAAAATAAAGAAATAAAAAATATATTGCGTGCCCTTTATGATGAATATGTTCCTAATGTTGAAGGTGGAAAATACATGAAGAAATCGGAAAGTTTACAATCACAACCTTCTTCTACCTCATCTAATGTGGCTATGACGGAAGATGATCTAATTGATGAATGGATGCATTTTGTTGAAGATAGTGATGAGAAAGTGGTGGGAGATGAGGTGGATTCTTATTTGTTTGATCCCTTGGTACAAATTACAAAAGAGGAGTCCACAAAATATTTTAACATTCTCCTATGGTGGAAGGTGAATGGTAACAAGTATCCTATCTTGGCCGCAATTGCAAAAGATATTCTTGCAATTCAAGTTTCGACCGTGGCATCGGAGAGTGCTTTTAGCACCGGTGGTCGAGTGATTTCGGATTTTAGGAGTTCTTTAACTCCTAAATCGGTGGAGGCCTTGATATGCATGCAAAATTGGTTGAGGGGTGATAATATTATTACTTTGGAGGATGATGCACCTTCAATTGACCACATTGAGTTCTATGAAAGTATTGAATCCGGTAAGTATATCAATTGAAATAAAAGAACTTTCTTTGTTTTCTTTTTTCAACTAAACATCAATTTATATTTTTATGTTTTGTATTGTGTAGAGTTGGCCAAATCGACTTCAAGCATTGCCTCTCTTACTCTTGATCAAGAACCACAACAAGCTCCAAAGCAATCTGAAGGTTCTAATTCACAAGAGCCTCCCCTTATGCGTTTACAAAGTGCAAGGTCTTCACAAGCTCAAAGGCCTCCTAAACCTTCAAAGAATAAGTGTCCAAAAGGAAAAGGAAAGGTAAAGGTTTGAAACTTGAACGATGCAAAGTAAGTTGAAAACCAAGATTTTGTTGAATTTCATGAACCATTTATTTTTTTGGTTGTATTAATGCCATAAGGCATTTGACATTGAACTTTGTTTGAAACTTTGAAGTTTGAACTTTAGTTGTATTATGGCAAACTTAACTTTTCAATTGGGTTGTAGTAAACTATTGTGATTGATTGGTGATCAAGTTGAATTTTAGTAGATGTGAATTATGTGATGCGTTTTTGTGCAGTTTTTTGGTGCAGTTTTGTGCAGTTTTGTGCAGTTTTTTGGTGCAGTTTTGGTGCAGTTGTGGTGTAATTTTTGCTGCAGTTTAGCTGCTGTTTTTTGTGCAGTTTTGTGCAGATTTGGTGTTGTTTAGCTGCTGTTTTTTGTGCAGTTTTGTGCTGCAGTTTCAGTGCAGTTTTTTGCTGCAGGTTTGGTACAGTTTCTTGGTGTTGTTTTGCTGCAGGTTTGGTGCAGTTTTTGGTGCAATTTTGGTGCATATTCATTAATTAATATACAAGGAAAATAAGACCATCTTATACATAAATATGTGTATATTTTAAATTGTACATTTTTTTCTCAAAAACCAAACCGAAACCGTTTGAAACCGCACCGAACCGAACCAAACCAAACCAAACGGTTTGGTTTCATTTCGGTTTTGGCTTCAAAATCGCACCGCACCGCACCGCAAAAAGTTTCGATTTCGATTGTGGTTTCACTCAAAACCGCACCAAACCGCACCGCGCCCACCCCTATCTCTAAGCTTTCCAGGGAATGTGACCAGCATCAAAAGATTCTTGATCGGAGTTCGATTAAGACTATACGGTTTGAAAGTGACATGAGCACCGTCCACCAAATCTTGGGTCCTCTCTTCAAGGCCACAATACCGCCGACCATTACTGGCCTTCCCCAGGAGCACTGCCTAACACCCCTGCTACAAGGGTTTGAATGGTCGAGATGGGATGCGGCGAAACCCCAAGGCTCCTGGCCCTCGACGACCACATCCTGGGCAGCCTGGGTTGTTCGAATGGAACGGCTCTTCGGCGAGCAATGGAAAGCCCTCGGTATCTACGACGCCATCATCCTCTCGTCAATGGATGTCGTTCTCGACAAGGAGCTTCTCCTAGCCGCCTTGTGCTTCTGGTGCTCGGCCACAAACACCCTGGTTCTTCCTCTTGGTCCCATCGGGCCCACCATCCTCGATGTCACCGCCATTCTGGGGACTTCGGCAACCGGGATCCCTATCGACGCGGCCCTCTCTGGGCACCCGTCGAATATTGATCTGAAGACGCTTTTTGATCGATGAGCCTTCGAGGCCTTGAACCGTGACTGTCAAATCCCGTCGAAAGAAGACATCCAGAAGCTCCACAAGAACTTCTTTAATTACAACACCCTCTATCTTCACTTCGCCGGCCGAGGAAAGGAGGACCTGCGAGAGGGAGAGCATGAAGCCTTCATCTTCTATTGGTACAACAAGTACATTTGTTGTACCAAGTCAAACAAATGTTTGGTCGAGAATATGCCGGTAGCCGAAGCCCTGGCTAGTGGTCACGTCTTGGCGCTGAGTTCCAACATTCTCGCCCATCTCTTCCGCTGCCTGGCCGAGGCGACCCTCCACAAAATCGATCCATACCAGAATGGTCCCCTCTGGGTCTTCCAACTCTGGTTACAAGTTTACTTCGCCTCCCTTCGGCCAGCCATAGCTGACTTCTCACCAACGGAGGCGCTTGGACCTCAGCTGGCCTCTCGACCGACACCTCCCCATCAAGCCGAAGAGGTATTTCGGTACCTCTTCGCTCTCGACGACTTCTCCAACGAGTTCCTGATATGTCGTCGTCGAGACTATCCTTCCTCCATCAGGCTGCCTACCTCTACGTGGGGCGCGGAGGAGGACGCTGATCTTCGTCAGACCTGGGGGTTGTTTGTGCTTGCTCGCGACCTCCCTCTCGGCTACGATGGAAAACGGTCGGGTTGGGAAGTATATCATCCGAACTTCCTTGCCCGACAGCTCGGCTATCTTCAGGGCTGCCCCATCCCCTTTCTCTCCTCCCGAACAGTCCTAAGCCGTGGACGTGAACCTCGTTCCTCGGAGAAGAAATGTAAAACTGCCGCGAGGGAGTTCCAAGAGTACTGCCAAAAATTCCGCCTTCGACCGGCCACCCCAGAAACCCATTGCACTGACACCTTCGGTGAGTGGTGGGAAAACTACACCCAGGAGTTCTTTGGTGCTCCGGTCGAAGGGGTGCTGAACAAACTCTTCGGTGACCGACCTAAGAAGGCATCGGCCCCCCAAACTCAAGGTAATTGTTCATTCCTCATCTTTTCCTTCAACCTTGCATATTGATCTGCCTTACTGAATTGTTTTTATCTTCTTAGGTAGTCGGCCTTCGAGAAAAACGGAGGCCGTTGCCGCGGCCACGGTCGAGAAAAAATCGGCCGTGGTTAAAAGGGATAAAGCTGCTGGTCGGGCCGTGCTGACCAAACGTCCTCGCCAAGAGGCCGAGCCGGTCGTCGAACCTCCGCCACCTGTCAAGCGGGTAAAACAGCTGGCAAAGAAGGGCGCACGGGAGATCCACGTTATCTCCAGTCAAACTACAGGGGCGACGACTCCCAGTGTTTCCCCTTCTCCTACCGTTGTTCAAACCTCAGTCGAGAAACAGCCCGCCCCGGCCGTAGCGACAGTTCGAACGCAGCCTATCTCTGGGACTGGTACACCAGTTGTGCCTCCCTCCGTCGAGGAAGCACCCGTTCCAAAAATGTGGTTTCTTCGACCGAGGGAACAGCCCCTGAAAATCCAAAACCCTCGGTCTTCATTCTGGTAGAGAGTGAGGGGAGCGACGAGGTCCCGCTGGCAGATCGTCATCTCTCTCGTCGGCAACCTCTCCCAAGGTCCAAGATGGTGGTTCAAGCCGGCTCCTCCACGGCTGATCGTGACAAGCGCCCGGTCGAGGAACCGGCGGCGGTGGCCGAACCCCTCGCTTCTTCTCAGGACCAGGATGTCCCTGCCTCCTCCGAAACGGCTGTTCCGGTCGGCCCATCTGCAGCCGACCGTGGCAAACGCCCGCTCGAGGAACCTGAGGCAACGGTGGAATCGCCCGTTCATCCTCAAGACCAGGGCTTTCATATTCCTCCACATGAGGTTACCTCGGCCTTCGTAAGTACCTTCGACCATCTTTCCTTGATTGCTTTTTTGCTTTAGAATTCTAAACAAGGAAAATAATAAATGTTAGGTGTCTGTACATTCTTTTCACCGACAATTCTATGCGCCGAAGGGCGTTATCTATATTTCTTGGCCGCCTCAGTGGCCATCAAACGTAGATAACCTCCATCGGCCACGTGAACTGAGAAGCAACTTGAGACACTGGGCTCGGCCATTGAGTTCTTTAGGTTCGAGCATCGATCTTGGAGACATGGTCGAGGTCTCCTCTTGGCAGGTTAAAAAACGAAACCTTCTTGCTATTCTTGTCATGACTTCTTTTAAACTTAACCTGATTTGTACGTGTAGGCTTCATGGGAAGTCGAATTCAAAGCCCTCCTCTCCAGCACAACTGCAGAGTCCGGTCCTTCGTTCGCTACGACCGAAACTGCCGATCCAAGCGCCTTAACCCAGTTGCGAGAAGTCATGTCGCTTTCAACATCGCAAGTACTTGAGCGCAATGGTCTTGACCTGCTTGGCGTATGTCTGAACGACCTTGGAGCCGACGGTCGCCTGAGCGAAGATGCCATAGTTCGGGCATCGTCTGCCTTGGAGCGTGTTCGGGAGACATTTAGTATCTTCCAGACCGCTCTAAAGGCCGAACAGGATCTACAAGCCACCACGGCCATTCAAGACACCCTCCGTCCGAAAATCGACGATCTACGGGCGAAAGGAGAAGCGTTAACCGAGCTCGACCGTCAGATGGCCGAACTAGCAAAACGTCGGTCGGCCATTGCTTCCGAGCTTGCTAAAGACTTTGAGTCAGGCGGAAAGGATCGCCTAACTGAGTATGCGGCAACCAAAAAACGGGTCGAGCGGCTGAAGCTGGACAAAAAAAATCGGCAGGCCGAAGTTATCATGGCCGACGTGCGGTGGTTGGAGTTGAAGGCCCTGCTCAGCAATCTTCTACCCTCTTCTCCTTGAATGAATTTGAATGTAAACCAATCGACCTACTTATTTTGTAAATGTTTATCAATCTTAATGGACTGTTTTTTCTATTCCCGCATTTCCCATGTGACCGGATAGTATTTTTTCAAAAACTTCCCATTGATTGGTAATCTGTGAACTATACCGGTTCGGTCTTTAAGATGATACGCCCATTTGCCGTATACTTTATGCACAATGAATGGCCCTTCCCAATTCGGCGACCATTTGCCGAACCTAGGATCTTTTAGTCCTACGGGCAACACTGTTTGCCACACTAATTCACCCTCACCGAATGTTTTCTGTCGCACCTTTCGATTATAGGCTCGCTCGGCAATCTGTTTTTGTGCCACCAGTAAGTTATAAGCGTCAAGTCGCGCTTTTTCCAAATCTTCTAGTTCCTGTCTCATGGACTGATTATATTCGACGCTAAACAAACTACTTTGTTCAATTAATCGCAACGAATTTATGCTTAACTCGACTGGTAGCACTGCATCGTGTCCGTAGGTTAATGCGTACGGGGTTGTCGCAGTCGCCGACCGGGGCGACGTTCGGTATGCCCATAATGCCTCGTTCAACTTCAAATGCCACATGCCAGGCCTTTCTTTTATTATTTTTTCGAGGATGCCGATCAACACTTTATTACTTGCTTCGGCCTGCCCATTCGCCTGTGGATAATACGGTGTGGACTGTTCTAGCCGAATGTTCAAATTTGCCGTGTATTCTTTAAATCTTTCGGCTGTGAAGATTGTTCCATTGTCGGTTATGATCGTTTCCGGTACACTGAACCGGGTCACAATGTGTTCCTCCACGAAGTCGCAAACTTCTTTAGATGTTAACTCGGCATATGATTTTGCTTCAACCCACTTAGTAAAGTAATCAGTTGCGACCATTATCCATGCATGCTTAGCAGCTCCATAAGTCGGCGTGATTTTGCCGATTACGTCCATGGCCCATCCTCTAAACGGCCATGGCTTAATGACCGAATGTAGTGATTCGGCCGGGACCCTTTGTATAGGCCCATGGATTTGGCACTGCACGCATCCTCGTGCGAACTCGATACAATCTTTCAGTATTCTCGGTCAAAAATAGCCGTGTCGTCGGAGTAGCCA